GGCTAACACTTATCGTGAAATGACAACAAAAGTCGAGGCATTAATCGTTTGATTGCATTATTATTGGATAAGCAATTAATTAACTGTATTTAGGTGCAAACAAAGGCGCACACAAATGTCATAAAACACATTAATATGTGAGTACAATTTTATGTCATCTGATATGCGTATAAATAGGTGGATAGATATTTTATGAGTGGTACACATAGTTGCAGTTGCGTAAAATTTATGTGCAAATATATTTTTTTTCCAAGGGTAATAAATGTTACTTTGCACACTTTAATGATAAGCGAAGGCTGGCAAATTTTGATTTATGCAATAATTCAGAAGGGGAAATTTGCTAATTTAGCGAATATTTTGTAAAATAAAAAATAAAGGTTAGGACTTTTTTTAAAGGCACTTTAACAGATTAATTTATACGATATTAATAAATGTATGGCAATAACTTATTAAAAATGCGATTTTCTGAGAAATAAATACATCTATATATAACAGATAGAATAAACTGTAAGGTTTTGCTTTCATATTTTTTTATTATGTTAGTCATAAAACGCCGTTTTTTACTAGCATGTTTGCAAAATTTTAACAAGAAAACCGCACAATTTTATAGCGAAAAGCATTTCATAATGCATAATTACTCAATTCCAACCAAGTCTTTGCCGTAACATTGGCAACGTAGTGCTTCTGGGTGGATATACATACATACGTGTACATAGTTATACTCGTATATATCCATACATATATAGGCCGTTGGGCTTCCAAATTCGATGTTTCCACTTCATTGCGCCTAATGATAGACTATGTTATAATCTGCTGCAGGCTATTGACTGCTTGGCTGGCGTTTTGACGATTTTTGCATAAATGAATGTGTTTAACCCATCGTAGCATACTGTGGCCTTAGCTAGAATCCACGCATATATGGGTATGTGTGAATTCTGCGTTAATGCTTTAAAACATTAATCTGTACCCCGTAGCGAATGTTATGCATTATTTAGTCACTTAAGTGTCTTGTATGGCCATGTTACGTCTTAAATGACTTTGGGCTCCGTTTATATGGAAGTCGTTCATGACTTTTCCATAGAAATGGACTTTGTCATGCAGTGATCATTGATGACATTCAAGCGACAGTATTCTGGAATGGAATTTATAAGAGACCGCTCCAAGACATTATCTGTTTTGAGTAGATTGCGGATGTTTATGTAGAAAACGAAGCCTAAAAATATGTACCCCATTGTCTAGTATTAAGTCTTCGATAGGACTACACCTGTATGGCATTCTCGCCAGTGTCATTGTCAGCTATAAGTACGGTGACCATCCGTTCTGTTTTTTGCAGGACCGTACTGTTATTTAAAGGTCTGTCGTGCGTAGTTTTTCAAAACAGAAAACCCCCAAAATGTACTGATTTTTTCCACATGTCCTGCCTTTGTCCCGCATTTTCTACGATATTTTAAAATTCACTTTTCCTAATCGAAATAAACTACATAAGGGTAAGCTGGTTTTGAAGGTTCCACTAGTCAATGCGTTCTAAATATTGTACGGTTATGGACAATGGATGACGAGAAATTGAAGACCAGCATAAAATATATCGATGACACTGTTCTACAAATTTTGTGGTAATCGCATAAGAAAAAAAATTTTCCAAGCCAATTTTCCTTTCAAACAAGCGTTTTCGTAATTTTTTCGAAACACGTGTTTTTGGTACATTTCGAACCTATTCGTCAATATCTCATAAAAAAATTATCCAATCGACATAAGCTACCTACAGTCCTCTTACAAAATCATATTACTTTGCCGATTTCGATGAAAATTACAGTGGTACAAGCGACCAAAATCGAAAAATTGAAATTTCAATCATTTTCTTTTTACAGTAAATGAAAATCTGATGAGAAATGGAGATGTTACGGAACACAATCTGCACAAAAAATATATATTTTTGCAAAGAGCCCATCAATACCTTTCGAACTGTTGGTCGTTTCATGAGATATTGAGGAATAACTGAAAAAGTACTAAAAATACGTTTTTCGAACAAATCTCGAAAACACTTCTTTAAAACCATGGGTATTTTTTTCATGTTCAACGACTCAACGACCAGTTTGCCTAAAAAATGTGCTTTACAGAGGTTCATATTTCGTGTAAAGTAATATGTAATATGCCTTATTATAATTTTGTAAATATTCATTACTCAAATATTAATGCCAATGAAGCAAATGTGATTTATGTTTGAAGTTTAAAATTGGATTAATAATTAAGAAATATGCACTCTTCGTTATTTGAATAGCGCATCCTTTTAATACTTAGTAGGTACAGTTTTCCTTTTGTTTGTTTAATATTCATTAACTTTTTATAAAAATATAGCATATCCTACGTCTACATCCCATTTAAAAAAAAAAAAAAAAAAATAAAAATAAACATAGGGGCGACAATTTTTTTTTGACGGTGCTGCGCATTTTCTTCCATATAAAAATTTTGTCAAGCATACTTTGCATGGTAGAAAATCAAAAAAAGGGTGCGCTATTCAAATGACGAGGAACGTATATATGTAGTATATTTTTGTTATTTTTATACTACGCAATTATATGTAGGTAAATTTTTTGAAAAATTGTCCTGCATTTTAAAAATATATTTATGGTCACCGTAGCTATAAGTCATTAAGGATTCACAGCAAGTGCGACGATATCACTAAATCCTCATTAGTGACGATGTTACCGCTGACCATTTTCGCTACTGGCTATACCTATATAAGTATGTACATATCTGCGCTTGAAAAAATTGATTGAGGAGCAATAGAGTTTTTGATAATTTGAAAGTGCAAACTTATTCACATTATTTTTTGTAGATAAGTATTGAGATTTATGCTTATTTTTAATATTGTCGTTGTTCACACTTGTCTGGTTATAAACGTTATCTGGTTATCTGGTTATGTGGTTATATTTTTTATTCAGTTTACAACAATAAAATACACTAAAGAATAATAGTTTTTAACCAGATAACCTGATAACCAGGCAAGTGTGAAGAGCCACATTGAAATATAAAATTTTAGTGCTTCCGCTCTGCTTCCATCTTAAGCCGGGATCCCACTATCGGCGCAAATAGCACAATATGCACCGATTTTCATCGTGCTTGATTGGTACATTTTCATTTAAAAAACTTGTAAAACTATTTTTTTAATGGTCCCAATATTATGGCTTTATCTTTTTCGGTGCATATCGGCCAAAATAAATATGCGGCGATAATCGGTACAACATGGTCACAGTATTGTGCTTGATTAATAATAACTATAAAAAAATTGTCAACTTTGATCGGGGCATGAGCAATTTGATTGTTCCACAATGAGCAAAATAGTGTTTACATTATCGGTGCAGCAATATTAATTTTATAGTTTAGTGTTTATAGTCAGCACAATTTCGGCTCAGATTGCCGCATTTCGAAAAATTGTGTTTATTCACACTATCGGTACATGAAATGCGCCGATAATGGGATCTTAGCTTTAAAAATGATTTTTTTTTCTTTTTTGGAAGGATTCGAAAATGGTAGTCTGGAAACCTATGGAAGCTATGAAAGACTAAATAATTATAATAAAAGTGCCTTCACTAAACCACAGTTATCTTAGCCAGGAACAAAACTCAGTACATAACAGTGTTTTCAGATGTCAGTACATTTTATAAGTGTAGGCCACATAGAAGGCTTGAAATTGGCTCGCATTATTGACTCATTATCGAAAAGTACAAGCAATCGACTTTTTAAAATCCGAGCGCCACCGAAAAAATCGAATTATGTAATGAAGAAAAAAAAAAAGAAATAAAAAAATTTTAAGTCTGAAGCCAAAACGAAAATGTAAAACTTCAAATATAAATACAAATAAACTGTAAACATGTTAAAGAAGAATAAATTCAAAATTTTAGTAATTACTCAAAATTTCAAGGACACCAAAGTAAAATGTCCCAATCTTGTGGCAACAAGAAATCCAAAAGAAAATTCAGTCGACAGCGGTACGAAAATAAGTCCACACAAACCGAGCGGCCGGAAAATACAACAGCAACAATAAACGGCTCGGTTATCCTAAACATAACCGATTATACGAAATTTGATGACGCCGGCTGTAGTAGTGTGGATGAGACATCTTTGAGTGATGCTTCGTCGCATTTATCAGCCCTCTCGGAAACAAAACGTCGCAAAAAGCCGCTTGTCAGTGTTACAAATTGTGCAAGTCAAACGGACAAAGATTGGCGGAACTCGATTGTACCCGATTTTGAAACGAGTTCGGATTCAGATGACACAGCACAAATAAATACTACATCGTATGCCTACTTGGAGGGAGAACCGTTGGTAACATCGTTGGCGAATCTGCAGTTGTCCGATAGCGAAGAAGATCCGCAGCAGCAGCAGCAGCATCTGATCGAAATAGCAAGCAATGAGGAAAAATTAGGAAAATTTTTGTAAAGTTCATGTATTCGCATTTTAAGTTCTCCTTCGCGGCAGACAGTTCTAATAAGTATATTTAAGGAAAACCAATTTTGTGTGTCTGCTCATTGAAAGGAATCAAAAGCTTCCGCAAAAGCTATAGGTAGGGTTTTTGGTCTTCAATGTTTTGCGATGGGTCGATTTTCCAGTATATTTCTACCATTTATATTTATGGCGAATGTGGCGAAAGGCAGAGCAAGGCTACCCGTTGTGTATACTTTGTTACGTCCTTAGTATTTTTTGGATGTAGGGAATATCAACCAGAAGGGCACTTATCCTATTATGTGTCCGGACATTCCAGGTATAGGCCCTAAATCAGAGCCCCCAAAACGTTTCCCAAGCATTACATATCATTGCACAGTTCATTGAATCAAAATTTTGTAGAAATGTAATTTAGTTTTTCAAAGGCAGTCATTTGATACAGACTTGAATTTTTCAATTTTTTTTTAATTTTTTTATTTTCTTACATAATTTTATATCTTTTGTACTTTTTGTACCATTTTATAACGCTTTTGGCTAAATGGAACTAGAGGAAGCAATAGAAGAGGAATATGGCTTTGAAGAGGTTGGGTCATCGAGAATTTCTTGTATGGAAGAGCAATGTGCCAGCATGCCAGATCGATTTACTGATTTCGACAATCGCGACATTATTCGCCAAAGTCAAGGTCTGCCCACGGATAAACACGACTACCAGCAAAGGAAGATACAAGTAAATGTGCCCGCTAACCACTTAGGTGAACCTGAAAATATGGAGACAACGGATATGCGCCCGTCAACGCCCAAGCATCTTTCAAGGTACAGACGCTACAGCGAAAAAAACGACGATTACGATTTGGGGGATGAGCCATTCGATGATGCTCATTGGGAATCTGATGAACCGCCTGATCATGTTGAAGAAAAACTTTACGAGTTAGGAGGTGGAATGAGACTTGGTCTACTGGAACAACTTACGGAAATGCCCGATATAGATGAAATTTCATCATCAATATCCGAAGAAACTATCGGGTTAGACAATGAAAAACCGGAACGTTTACAACAAAGTGATAACGATTTTGAGCTTGATTTTGTTGATATGAAAGAGTATGCGGAAGAAGAAAAGGAACAACTCGCGGAATTCGCTATAACCGAAGACAATGAGTTATTGGAACTCGAAAAATGGGATGCTGATCAGGAGCAAAGTGAGGAAACAAAATTAGCGCATGAAAAGGAGGAAATGTCTGATTTCGAACTGTTCGTGACAACTAAAGAACCAGAGTTCGACCAAGCGCTGTTGCAGGATACACGGCAGCAAAACGAAGCTATTGTAACTGCATTTGTCGAAGAGCTAATTCAGTTAGTCGTTGAGGCGGCGGAGTACAAGGATACTAGGGACGTACTACGCAAATCCATCGACAAGAGAAAGCTGATGGATGAGATTAGTGAAAAACTTAGAGAACTCGAAATTGAACAGAGCGCGCGGCTTTACCTCAATCGGAAAGTAGTTGACCATCTTAAGCGCAAACGACAATTTCATGCAATTATAGAAGATCCAGCCGAAAGCGTTGAGTATTGGATGGCTAAATATCGCGAGCAGTTGCAGAAATACGATGAAATGTTGGGAAAGGAGGAAGAATTGAAAAGGGTGACCACAACAAAAATGATTGAATTAAATGAGATATTGAAGGAGAGAGAGCATAGATATGAAGAAGAGGCGAAAGAGTTCGAGCGCATTGTAAGAAAGGCACTTCTACCACATGAGGGTACGGTGAATACAAAGAAGATGTCAAAAAAGAGCGCAAAATATAAGGATTATTTAAAAGTAAGTGGGTGAGCAGCTTTTGTATGCATAAAATAAATTCTTCAAACATTTTCTTTTAGAACATTAACGCCATGTTGAACGAAATCTCTACTAAACGCAAGGAAATATCAAATACACGACTGATGCTTATTAAAAAGCAACACTTATTTGCTGAATTGAAAGAGGTACTGGTTGACTTGAACACAAATATCTAGGTTTATGTACATTAGACCGTATCGAAAAAAGAGGCATTTACAGTCGAATATTAATGTGTGATGAATACATATGTAGAAGATCTTGTCTCGAGGAAACATGTTTTTTTTTTGTTCCTGAATTCATTGAGTATTCCTTCTAGTTTTTGCCCACCAGATCTTAGTTCCTATCACCCTAACAGACCACTCTAATATGAGTAAATTAAAGCACGCCAACACGTCTTTTCGAAATTACCTTGCGAAAATACCTTAAACTCAGGGACGCACGGCGAACATTCTTGTTTGCTTGGAAGGTGGTACAGTCTAATGTACATACATACAACATATATATCCGAATACAGTAATTTACATTTCGGTAATAATCGCCTTTTACTACAGAGATTGAGTGAAATTGGGAACGTGGGCCATGGTCCGAATGTGACTCAATTCGAGAATTTGCAAAATGAAGTTGAGCAGTTGAGCAAGAAATTGGAAGGTAAGACCTTACAAAATAATACTATAATGAATTTTCTATATTTTCTCTTTATGTAGGAAATTATGTGTGTTTATTTGTTTTTCATATCAGATCGCAATACTGAACTTGCAAAGGCTCGTCTTCAACGTCAACTCGATGTGCACATTAGTACGCATATGAAGGAACGTATGCTCATGTTGCGCAATACGCTTGCCGTGCAGAGGCTCAGCTATTCAACTTGGCTGCAGAAAAGACAAGAAACTCGCCGTGCACTACACCAGCAGCAAATGATTCGTACGCAGATCCGTAAAGATATTAAGGAGCTTGATTTTCAAGGTGGCATACTATCGAAACCCGCACTAATGTTGGACTATGACAACACTGTGGCCGAAGTGGGGCACAAGCAAGAGATTGTTCGGGGATTGCATTTTCAGTATAAGAAAATAAGTGAAAAAATTGCAAAATATGAGCAAATGCTTGCTTCTGGGGTTCCAAATAAATTAAAAGTGAATGATTGAAAGCGGAGGGTTTTTTTTTTATTAAAAAAATAGAAAACAATATAGAAGTTCTTTAGGAACCTAGGATGTAAGCAGAGTTTTAAAATTTCGAGAATAGAGAATCATTGCAACGGGATTGGGGTATTCGATTATGCGCCTTTTTTCCAAAACCGGTTTTCGAGTTATTCGAAAAATTGCAATCGGTTGCAATTAATCGTTATTTGATTAAAATATTGACGTTCCTTACTTTTAATTTGCCCAGTTAATTTTTTTTTTATGATTTTGTGATGATGTGAGTCGTTGCAAAAATGTGAAAAATTGGTATTCCCACCCTTATTTTCACTTTTTAAAGCTTATTCCGAAGACTGAAGATAGTGTCGCAGAGAGCCCGGATTTGTTTTCTAGAATAAGGGACTAAAATAGCACCTTTTAAGACACATATATACAATTGTCGAATCAAAAATGTTGTGTTTTTCGACCCGCCCTACTGTTCTTCCCCAAATAATCTAGGATATAATTTTGAAAATATTTATGGGCTTCCCTTGAACTGCAAAACTTCGACAAACCTAAAAGTTTTATTCAGAGGTCAAGATTTGGGTGCAATGAAAACAAAACCGATTTGTTCGATCAAAAAAATCCGGTTCATTCGATATTCGAAAAATCGGAATTTAAAAAAAACCGCCTAGATTTTCAAAAAAAAAACGGTTTTGAAAAACCGAGTCAATCACCCTAATCCGGATCGGTACTTGTTCAAGGAAAATTTCATAGGGCGTGGCACAGCAAAAGGATGTAAGTAAGTATGTTTACGGAATTGGAAACCAAATTTTATGGAGAAGCTCCCTGAAAATGTATGACTGAAACATGTTTTCTATGTTCGTTCTTCTGTTATTTTCTATGTTCTTTCACCAACATCTACGGCTTTAAAAGAAGCTTAACTTGAAATAAGGTTTTTATGTTTCTTTATTTGCTCAAATCGAACAAAAGTGATTTTCCGCCTGTTCGCTAGGAGAAGTGAAAAGTGCACCAACCAGTTTTTTTCCTTCTTAAGTAGAGCACTTTCTAAAGATATTATTTCCTGATCTCTACATACATACTTAAGTCTTAAAATCGCTTACAATACATACATAAGTATGTAGACACATTCTTACATTTGTGCAATTGTCTTAAGCCTGCGAAGTTAGTGCACTCATGTGCATCTCGGCAATCTGTTGAATTTCCCTTTAGGCTTTCAGTCACTCGGAACGTGCGCTGATGGCCTTTTGCATTTGCAAGTGCTTTAGTAATTTTTTTTTTTTGTGTACGAGGGAAAACACTTAATGTGGTCTGTCTGTTGTGTTGCACTTTACTCTTCATTACCCTTAGACATAGACTTACGGTTTTTTGCGAAAAAGTGCATTTTAGCGATGCTTCTCGCTCGCTTGCATTTCAAATGCCCAGCGGATGCAAGAAAGTAAG